TGTGATACTGTTATGACAGTGACACTGTTATTATAGCCACAGATGAATTGAAATCACTTAAGCAGTGAATGTTTTTGAATTTATTGCGCTGTCTAGTACAGACTTCACCACTAGTTTTTAACCACTACTAGTTTTTGTACCTGGACACTCATGGCATGAACTATTTTTGTTGTCGAACTTTATACATACATTTTTTTTTTTTTGAGTTACCTTAACATAATTGTAATAATAACAGATTTTCATGGGGTCACACCACCTGACATGTTAAACTCAACCAGCCTAACCATGACTCAAAAATGGCAATGTTCAGAATTATAGCCCTTTGCTGTCTGTTGCACAGCATGATATTTGATGAAATCAGAAGTTACAGGCAAAGGTTTTTCAATGAGTGAATGCTTTCAAAGCTTGCAATATGTTATGATTTTGAAGCTTTCAAACATAAATGCTAGTCTGTTTTATTTAGAATTTCACCAGACAAAACTACCATTTTTAATGGTTTATTTAATCTGAATATATCGCTGGCTGGTCGCACCACCTGACATTTTTTTTTTCACCTGACTTTGGGAGGCAAAATGCCTAAAATGAATTCTATTTTTTGATGCACTGAATGTATTCACATAAAGGAGGTATTCTTTATGGTATGTATTTATTGAATTATAACAGTAATTATTCATCAATTTCAAATCATAATAAATTATATCCTCTTATGTACAAAACAAATGTCTCAAGTTTAGAGTTTAGTGTGTGTCTGTGTGTGTGTGTGGTTGGGTGAGCACACTGGTGTGTGTACCCTGGCTTTACTGTCGTGCGTGCAGAATTGAATTTTCAGCTTTCGCAGTTTTGTTAAGAGGTTTGCTCAGGGTTGCAGCAGGAAACAGGGAATGAGAACTTAAGCCAAAATATAGTAAACAGCTATTTTTCATAATAGTTCAGACTGTCCCATGGCCGCTCATCCAGATTTCCTCACCCTGGACCTTTAACCACATCCTTGGCTTCCAGTTGTGATATGCTCTCCCATAAACAAGATACATGCATTTCTGAGAATATGACTGACAGACAGCAACATATTTTCTCAATAACACTGCCTTCTTTGTTCCTTCTTTTGGCTAGCAGTGTCTGTTGTAAAGTCTCTATTTGATTAAAACACCAGATGTCGAACATGGATTATCAGTAGTAGCGCCTTTTCACTCAGTTTATTGTTCTTTTCATTAGTGGTCTTTAGTAGGAAGTGAAACAAAGATGAAGGCCTTATCACTTACCAAAACTGTAAACATTGAATATGTATCTCATTAGTCAGTATATTATAAATAGTCCAAACTTACTTGTTATTTAACATACTTTAAAGCTACACAATGTAAAATTTGGGGATTTAAAGACCTCTCTGGTGGAAATGTGTAATTTTTTAATATTGGATGTGTTTGGACCCCTTCCCCAAGCGGACGAATCTGACAATTGCTTGCATGTTCAAAGAGTATTCAAAGAGAACTATCAAAGCATGGTGAAGAACGTGTCTTTCAATGATGTGAGTTATGTACTATTGTCATCGTAGCTTCATCAATATAATGATTTTCCATTTGAGACTTAAACATCGAGTCAGACACCATTTTTTAGGGGTTTTTCTCCTTTCAGTTTTAACAAAAAAATCTTACATAGTGCAGCTGTAACATTTTTTCCTTCTCCTATAAAGTTACCATTTTTGGTTTTGTTATTTGAATCACCTATCTGGTACTTCTACTCGCTGTCTACTTAATGAGCTCCTTCTACCTTACAGATCCACGATACAGGTGTACATTTACAGCCTGTAGCCCCTTTGTTCTCATGCACAATTTCTCATCCATGCTTCCTCATATTTATCATTGTTCAGTGTCTGACCACATGACCACTGTTGATCAGAAAGAGAGTGGACCACTCTCAGTGGACCAGTGACTCTGACATACTACTGGAATGGTAGGGTGTTCAGTCCTGTTATGAGTATATTTGTCATAGTGGACTGCAGCTCTGTGGTCAGAAACTGACCACCGATGAAGGGCTAGAGGATGGGTAATACAAATTGTGCATCAACAGATGGGCTAGCCTTTAACTATAAGTAAGAGGTTTTTAATAAAGTGGCCTGTGGTTGTAAACATATGAAATAGAAATTAAACTTGGAGGTCTGTTGCTCTCGTGAGAATCTTGTATCCCTGAGATAGTCTATTACAGCAGAAGGTAAAAACTTAACCTTCTTTAATTCAAAGTAATTATGGACCATTTATATTGGTGCATTTGTCTTGGAATGTAAATGACAACTGCTGTTTTCAAACGATGTTATGACTTCATTATATGAGATCATTGGTATTTCTCCCCTTTACCTCATACATTTTTTTTAGTCACAGTGACTAACATAATTCAAAAATAAAAAAAAGATTTTTCTTGTTTTGTTATCGCTGCTTAAAAGTCCGAAATCGATGTTTTCAATGTTATAAAACCAATTTGGTTGCAAGTAAATATTTAGAATAATTTGAATATGCAAGTACTGTACAACATCACGGCTTTCAAATAATTAGTAGGACACTAATAAAGATAAATAAATAACTATTTGAAATAATGTACACTGTTGTGCAAAAGTCAGACCACCCTTCATTTATTTAATTTCAAGTCAAAATGTCCATTAGTTAAAGTTTTTTTAGTAGATATTTCTAAGGATATTAGGTATAAGAGAATCTAGTTGCATAAGGAAGGTAAAAGTTAAAAGAAAGTGTAAACAGAAGAGTGTTTACCGAAACAGGAGTCCAAAACATTATGAAAAGATGCAGAGGTAAAAGAGACACTTGACAGCCATTCAAAACCTCATAGACCACCAAAGCTGTAACCATCAGATACACAGTACTGAAGACTTTCATCTTAGAGAGGAGAAAATCTGTCCATTCTTCTGCTGTGAGAATACGGCTCAAAACTGAAGGATGTGTAGCTGTCAAGAAGCCATTACTGAGAAAAGGAAATGGACAAAAAGAAAAATGTGCATATCAAACAAAAGCTGCCGGTGTTCTCAGAACAATGTCCTGACCACTCCAAAGTCCAGACCTCAACATCACTAAATGTGCTTGGGCTTACTAAGGCTTAACTTGGATTCTTGATGCTGAAAAAGAATAACTTAATGGATGTTTTAACTGGAAATGAAATGAATGTGTGTTCTGACTTTTATACAGTACTGTAAATAGGCACAGTATATTAATTACTGTATTATTAATTTCTTGTTTATGAATTTTTTGAAATATTGAATAATATATCCAAAGATGTGAATTATTTGTAATACGCAAGTTATCATTGGCAAGTAATTCCAAACTTTTGAATAGTAGTGTAAGTGTAGTGTAATTTAACAACCCCCCGCCCCCCCATGCATTTAAGGGTTAAGCAAGTCAGCTGGGCGTGATGTTAAATAATTTATATAATCATGTAATTTTAGAATTCTCAAAAGATTTATACATACTGCATTCTGCCTTCCTTGATAACTCTGTTAACTGCCGTGCAAAAGTTCTATAAAAGCACACTCTACCCTGGAGGTTACAACACAGAGAAAGGAGAAACACCTCTGGGGCAAACAAGCGCACAGGCTAAGAATACACAAGCAGCATTCAGCAACAGTCATTATTATAATTTGGAGCTGGAACTAAGCCCCTGACTCGGCAGAGCTCCCTCAGGCTGAGGTTGAAATGGGGAGAGAGGGGGGAAATGGAGAATGTGAATATTCAGCATGCAACTATGTGAAACTAATTTAGAAAACCTACACCTCAGTCTACAGGGAATAAGGTCTCTATTTTTCTCTCCTGGGGATAACTAGTATTGTCTCAGCAGTGCTGCTCTAATTAATGCCCTTTTCCTGTTTAAAACAATACTCGTGCACACACAGACACGCCATGCGTCCGTGTAAAGCCTTGGTACCTGGGTCTCATCTGGCAGGTCACAGATGCAGCCCCAGCTGTTTCAGTCCTTATCTACCAGTGCCAGGGACACAAGCATGTACAATGCCATGCGTAACTGCACATAACCCAGACAAAGCAATAACTCTTCTGGCTGTTTGCCTTCTGATAACATCAAAATGTCAAAAGAAAGGTCTTTCTTCCCCATCACTAGGCAACATACCAGCTAAAGTGGTATCTATTTGGTCATGTGACTGAGAGAGGCAATTAGTGTTCTCCTTTGAGCATGTTGAGGTGTTTGGAAATGCTGTACGGCTGCTGGGTGCTGGGCGTGGGTTGGGTTATTTTTTGTGGTGCGGTTACACTGATGGACGAACATGATATAAATAATGGAAAGACAGCTGCTGACACTGTTATGACAGTGACAGTTATTATAGCCACAGATGAATTGAAATCACTTAAGCAGTGAATGGTTTTGAATTTATTGCGCTGTCTAGTACAGACTTAACCACTAGTTATTAACCACTCCTAGTTTTTGTACCTGGACACTCATGGCATGAACTATTTTTGTTGTCGAACTTTATACATACATTTTTTTTTCAATTACATTAACATAATTTTAATAATAACAGTTTTTCATGGGGTCACACCACCTGACATGTTAAACTCAACCAGCCAGTCAAAAATGGCAGTGTTCAGAATTATAGCCCTTTGCTGTCTGTTGCACAGCATGACATTTGATGAAATCAGAAGTTACAGGCAAAAGTTTTCCCCTTTTGTTTCCACGTCAATAATCACAAATATTACAAAGATAGGACTTTTTTGTACACACTACAGTAATTATTCATCAATTTCAAATCATAATAAATTATCCTCTTTTATGTACAAAACAAATGTCTCAAGTTTAGAGTCTGCACTTCAGACAGAATTTCTCTGGTTGTTTTGATGAGTTATGCTTAAAGAAAAAAATAGAGAATTAATGAAATGTAGGAATATAATGAATGTAAGAAGAGGTGTTCAGTGGTGTATATACCATGGGGAAACTGGAAGGGTTACATTTCTTCTTTTGAGGTATCAGTGCTAGTAAATCAGTGTTGGACTCACTGGTGGTGTTGTAGCGGACCCCCAGGAAGGTCTCGGGACAGGGCCGTGCTACCACTTCACCCGCACTGCTCCTGGGCCAACACGTCCCAATGCCGTCTATCGATATATTACAGAACAAACCTGAGAGTGAAAAGAGAAAGAGGGAGATATTTAATGAGGCATTTTAAGCATTATTTATGAATGCCTTTGCCTAAAGGGAAATTTTCCCATGCTTACACTGTAAGGATGTGTTGAAGCCAAGTTAGTATCCAAGCTGTTGTGAATGCTTTTCTCCCAAGTACAAATGCAATTTCCCCTGATTCCGCAATGGACTAATACATAATGCAAATCATGTAAACAGATTTTGCTCATGAGAAATTCAGCCTATTAACAGTAATGACCCAAGGAAACACAAACTGTAAGTGAGTTTCTTTGAGATGCTACATATTTAATTTCCCTTTGTCACTTCCTTTGTATGTTTTCACTGAAGCAGATGCATCTTCATCATCTTAATTGGCCTCTTTTTTGAGGTGCAAGTTTCTGTTCCTCGCATTTTATCATCAAAAGCGATCTTCTGTGGATGGTTAAGATTAAAGAGTGTTACTTTAAGCATCTTAATCCTCCCCCGAGACCACGCCCCCTGCCTAGCCGAAATTTTACTTCTCTTCTCCCTTGGACGGGTCCAGCGTCCGCTGCGCACTGCAGTGTGTGAAATGCCCTTTAGCTCAGCGCAGCTGCCCATATCCAAATGTTTCCTGCGGGATCTCCAACAGGCGAGTTTCATGAGAGTTTGTTAATGCAGTAAATTAAGACTCTTGGGTGGTTAAAAAAAGAACCACTTGCAGAGAAACCCCGCCAACTGGATTCAGGTTCAAATCTCAGTCCTGTTGATGTGCCGCTCCCCCATGAAGAGGCATCACACAGAGTTCTCTACAGGATGCAGAGCATACAGTATCCCTCTCTCACTCTTTGGTATGTGATGCACACTAGGGTGCCTGTATATCTGCATAGGGCTCTCCTCAGTACGCTCTCTTGATGTTTGCCATGGCTTTGTTGTTTACTTTTTATTTCAGCTTTCAGTTTTCTCTATGTATCTGCAACATTCCTTACTTAAAACATTTTTTGATGAGATTAATGTGAGTTGGAGGGAGTGTGTATCTTTTTTTTTTTCTCTGTAGATCAGTGTTGTGCAGATTGACCCTGCAGAGATGGAGGGACATAGAGTTTCAGGTCTTTTGCTATACAGAGAAATGGCTACTAGCAGACTGAAATTTTAACTGACAAAAGACAGAGGAATACAATGAATAATGATGAATTGATGAATGTATTAGTGGCTGTGGATGAACATATTATTTGCTGCTTTATAACAGGTGCGTATGTTTATGTTGATCTGTTAAGTGGCCCAAAGGATCGTGAGGCAAAGCGGCATGAAAATTATGGTGGCTGTTGAATCCACCTGTGTTTGCCTTGACATGCTGGTTAAGTGTCCTGATTGATTATCTTCAGTTTATTGTGGATTGGACTCTTAATGGGGGTTCTTCACAGGAGAATGTGCTAACAGTGCCATCCAATTATCTCTGAAAATAGTTTTCATCTGACTGTGAGTAACTGATTGCAGCTGCTGATGTAAAAGGAGCTGCGTTGTATTTGATTTTTTTCTCAATTCTGGATATGTAAAGCAGTGGTGCATTCAAAGGCTAGGGGCACCACACTTCTTTGTTTATTTTCAGTTTGTTTCAGATCTATTCACAGACCAAACTCAGTCTACACCCAAATCATTTTTGGTTTTTCCAGTATGGAATTGTGCACACGTAGCTGAATGCTAAATGGCTGTCTGTTAGACATATTATGCACTGTTTGGGTACAAGAGCCAATATTTCAATTCCTATGTAGTGCACTGTCTAGGGAATAGGGAGCCATTTGAGATTCAGGCTCAGCGAGAAAAAAAGGTAGTAGATGATGTACATTGCATAGAAATTAGCATTCTTGTTGCGGAGGTAGTTTGGAAGCATACCAGAGCTATATTATGATATCATTATTATATAACAAAAAAATTAAATTTATGAGCTGAACTGAATGTTCTCGTCCTTATTCAGCAGTCCATGACTGCTTGGCAACATCATACCCTGAAGGAAGTACATTTCCCTGAAGGAAGTACATTGTTTATCTTGATTGTTGATAATAAATTTATTTATTTAAAATTGTGTATTTTATCATATTTTATATTGTTGGCTGTTTTAGAAAAGCTGTAAGCTAATTGAGACCTTGTGTTAGTGATTTTATCCTGGGTAAGAGGGTTTTACTCATGTCTTGCCTAACCTATGATAAAATCACTGTAATGCACAGCCTCCTATGCTTTTTGCTGTATGTATGTGATTAGGAGAGTGTTAATCTGGGCCTGTGTATTGTCGTCATATTTTGAGCATTGTGTGAACACAGCGGCTGCCCTTCACATTGTATTAGCATTTCCTGACGAATGAACCAACTAAAGTGGTTCAAAGTTATTTGGAATAAATGTTTAAAGTTTGTTTGTATCCTATAAGGATACCGTTTTGGAGATACATGGTTTCTTTAGGACAGAAATAAAGAAAATAAAAGTGCAAATGTGTCGACAGCATAACTGAGTTTGCTCTAGTAGAAAGTTTGGAGCGGTCTTAAAGCCCCTCAGTTTATTGACGAGCTGATTCATCAATAGTTAAAAAAAACACTTTCCTCTGATCTCCTGCACTGCACCCCTCACCACAGTTCAAACAACCAGCAACCTGGTCAGGGTTGCCAGATTGGGCAAAGAACCCAGCTTGCTATCAAAATAAATATATATTAGTGATATTTTTCATTACCTTGTAGTATTTCAATTTTATCAAAAAGCAAAATATATAAATTGTTCAGTGCATAATAATAATACTAATTAAGGCATAACAACAAAAGCAATAATTATAAAAATCCATTTAGTTTTTAAAGTAAAACCAAAAAATCTAAAGATTTTGTTAGTTTTGTATAATATTCAAATGTTCAAGCTAATATTTAATATAATTATTGAAAATGAAAATATTTGATAGTTTTATGGTCAAGTTTTTTGTTGTATTGCCAAACCCTGTAAATGCTTGTATAAGTGTGCTACCACAAATAAGTGATTATCCTAATATTAGAGCAGTGTGTTCATTATCATATAAAATAGTCCATCTACCAGTATTCGTGTTTTATCTGTTGCATTTTGCTATCCGTCTCTGATACCAATAAAGGCATGTAGCCATAATATCATCTTATTTTATTGGCCAAACAATATATCGGTCAGGCCCTACAAGCAGTAGGGACGAACAGGGAATTCAGTGGATTAAGTGAGTGGAAAGTAAAAGTGGAATTCGTGAATGTGTGCATACAGAACAAGTACAGTGTTGGACAGTATGATGATCAGTCCACCAAAATGTTCAAAATGGTATGGGACCTTGCTCTTGCTCATGCTCTTATTGTTATTAAGAGGATCCTTTGCTCCCTTGCTGTTAGTGGAGCGTATCACTGTAGAATGACATAAATTCCAGCTACTGTCCCATTCAAACAGAGGGAAGATGAAAAGCGCTGTGCTCTGTGTCTGGAGGGACTTTAGACTAATTAAAGACGCGCAGATCAGAGGAGGCAGCCCACATAGCTGAATTATGAACCAGGCTATGAAAACATACTCCCCCATTCATCTGAAAAATAAAATGAAAAATAAAAAATAATTAAATTCAGTTCTCTTTCTTAATGTGAAGAGTTGAAAGTGTACACAGCGTGTTTGGAATCAGATCTGTCAAATGCCTTCAGAAACACTGATTTATATGTAAATCAACAATGGAACTGGACGAGTCTTATAAAAGAATGATGTGTTTTGAGAATGTGATGAAAGTGGGTCATTAAAGCATGAGATTCTGTGGCAAGTCTAAGTATCATAACTGTGAATACTAATTTTGTTTTTCAAAACATTGCAAGGACTGTCTGTGCTGTTCATTTGATTTATTCATCATACATGTGCTTTAGCAACGGGAGATTTTGAAAACCAGATGTCTGTTTCCTTTAAGGAGCTGTTTTTATGTAGTGTGTCATATATTTATCTATATGGAATGCCACTGATACTGTATAGGAGTTATGCTACTAGAAGTTGCCCTAGAGATGTGATTCAAGGATATCATAGCATCTAAACTCAGCCAAGCTACTTATCACACACAATCTTTTTACAGAGAATCATTACATAAGCTCAACTTCTGAAACAAAAGATTTTATATCTACAAAGATTTTCAGCTGCTTTTGAACTGAAAGCAAAAGTAAGTATTTCCCATACCGGTTGTAGCCTTTACATGCTACCACAGAGTTGTGACAAAAGACATTTTGTCAAAGACTAAAACCTTTACACTCACAGCTTTTTGAATTCTGAGACTCGAGACAAGGCTTGTTTTCAGAACGGGAGCAGTGTTTGGGGAGTTACTCCGAAAATAATTTATAACCAATTACTTATTACTCCTCAAGCTGTAATGGGATTATATACTTTCTGTAAAAAAAATAAAAAAATAAAAAAGAAAGTTATCTAACTTCTTATCACTAGACTTCTTTGTTACTCTCTAAAACCAGAACATTTGGACTATCTGGAAAGTACAAGGAAAAAACCCATTATCTGTTTTTAGTGCTTTATTTAGAAAGAAGTAACCAATTACAGGAAACATCATTTGACAGGTAATTAGCAAACCAGGGCTGCTCAAATAGAACAGGGGAGCACTGATTTAACTTAATTAATAACTTAACTAACCCTTAATTACTACAAATATAGACTTGCTTGTTATGCTCAGTTTTTCTGAGTGCGCATGTTTATATGTTAGCCCACAGCAACCGGTCAGTTACAGGCCCACGAGATTTCCCAACTTTTGCCATTTTTCGGAAACATGGGTACTGAATAGTTGTAGTTAAAGCCCAGGCTTACCTCGTTCATGTACAGCACACTCTTACAAACAACAGTGTTCAGATCGGTTTTAAGATAAAATAATGGGTCTCACTTTATTTGGATAGTCCAATATAGTCCCCTGCAGATTAACTAGAGATGATCAAATTGTTAAACTTTTTGTTGAAACTCTGTTGATTCTAAACTGTGGTGGGATTAGGGTTAGGATTTGGACCAGGGTTAGGGCTAGGAGCAGGGTGAGAGCTGGGTTTAGGTTTTGGGTGGAGTTTAAGGTTAGGGTTTAGGATTAGAGCCAGGTTTAGAGTTTGAGAATTGTCAATTTAGTAGATATTTAGTTGAATGTAACTTGAAAGTAAATTAAGTATCTATAAAGCATCTAAAGTGGACTGTCCAAATAAAGTGGCTAACACCATCGCCCTGCACACAGGCAAAAATGTTGCTATCACTAACTCAACCTTTACACACCTGCATGCCACTGTGCCTGATATTAGTTGCAGAATGAAATTTTTTCAATATCAAATGCAGCAGCAGTGTCCAATCTAGAGCGAAGGGTCTGACTGAAGAGCTGCAGATTTACACCTGCAGTTCCACTTCAGCGGTTTCAGGCCAGTGGAGCTTATGCGCAGTACGACAGCATGATTTTGCCATGTAAACAAAGTCCTTACAGGAATGTTGAGCGTTATAAGCGTCCCCATTTATATTTCAACCAGTGGCCGGTCTTCTCGTTTGTAACATCTCTGATGTAAACAGTAACTGTTTGTGCTAGTTGTATGTGTCACCATGCGTATTACCTTTCAGGAAAGGATACCATTGCCAATATACGAATCGGCCATTGGTAACCAAAACACATTACAAAACAATCAAAAACCAAAGGAAAGACTTAATGGTTTCTATGGATTTTTTCAGCTGGGATACGTTCAAAAACTAGTTTGTTTTAGCCTAAAGCTTGATATTAAGTTTAGTTTAAGCCTGCTTAAATGTTGTTGTAAAAATGTATTCCTGCACCCGTAATACAAGTGAACACACAAAGCCCCCATATTAAGGTAAGTTAATTGCGCTATATGTCTACGTAACAGTTTAGTTTACCTAGTCCACATAAGCTGTAGTTCGTGTAACATTTACCCCATGAATCTCTATATGCGTTCAAACAAAAGTTTGTTTTAGCCTTAAGTTTAAAATATAACATTAGTCCAATGCAAATTTATCACAAATTTACTGGAAACCCACATAAAATGACTGAAATGTTAATTAGCCTAAAACTTGCTTAAAAAAACAAAAGTTTTGATGCATGCGCTGAATGCCACTGGCTTGAACCTGCTGGAGTGAAACTACAGTTAAACTGTGGCTCTGCGGCTCTGCAGACAGACATTATTGAAGCTAGAAAATAGGCCTGTTCAATTGTTCACTATGTGGGAGCAGTGTCTAGCATGGTGTGGCAATTTCCCTGGTCAAACAAGTAGTTTAAAGGGGTGCTGCCTTGCTTGCTCACATGTAATGAACTAATTAGCAGCACAATTAGGTGATGGAGAATAAACTCACCTGTGGAATTGCTTGAACTGGATGTCTGATTCCACAGTATCAAACTCCGAGCTGGAAAAGAGAAAAGTACATTAAAACCAACATGCCAAAAACAAAGTCTGTATCCAATTAGTGCATAAAATGTCTTGTTGATTACACTTTACTGTCAGAAATAATGCAAAAAGACACAGTCCTACATAATGGATTCATTCTGTTCCAAACACATTCATCAGTAAATTGTCAAGGTGAGGAGGGAAAACACAATGTGCAATACTTAAGACTGTAATTGAGAACCACTTCAGGCCCATCAGGCCAGAGAACAGCCAGCCTTCGTTCTGTTTAGAAAGCTGTCCTTTAAATTTACTTATGGGCTTTGATATAAACTCTAGGTCTTGAGGAATGCAGTTTTGATTATGGCAATCCAATACCTATGGTAAAATGTGACATTTATAGTATATACACACGGTTCAGTGCAAGTACAGGGCACACTGTGCAGAAGTCAGAGACCCCACTTCATTTAATAATTTCCAGTCAAAACGGCCATTAAGTTATTCATTTTTCAGACAATATTTCTGAGAAGGTTATATAGAAGCTAATACACTTGTGTACGGAAGTGGAAAGTCAAAAAAGAATGAAATTTTTTTTTTAAGTTGTTAAAATACATGAAGAAAATAGGGAGGTATGGTTCCAACCATGCAAAACCTGGTAGACCACCAAAACTATCAGGATCTGATGAACAGTATATATTAGCTTTTATCTTTGAGAGATGGGAGAAAATCAAGCTCCACTCTTCAAAATATCCACAGGTGTTTCTGTCCAGTCGCTGTGTTCACTATGAGAAGACAAAACAGCACTATGGGTCTGAGACTGGTGTAGCTATCAAGAAGCTATTTCTGAGAAAAGGAAATGGACAAAAGAAAAATTGCAAATCAAGCAAAGAAGACCTCATCTTCGTTGAATGTGTTTGGTATCACTTGAATTGAGAAGCAAAAAATTCAAACAACTCAGTGCCATTCAAGAATGGAAGCTATAATAAAGGCACATGAAATATTGAAAAAATGTAATATTTAGTTGTTGGCCTTCTGTGAAATGTTCTATTAAATGCTCTGACGCTGAAAAATAAATAACTTGTACTTAAATAAAATAAATAACTTGTTAAATTCAAGGCGGTTAGATGAGTGTTTTGAAACTGAGAAGTGAAAACATTGTTGGGTTAAAAGAAAGACGTTCCTTTGGATAGCTAATAGGTATCTGTGCTTTGGAAACACTAATTTGGTAAAATTCTCTGAACTGATTTGAATCGAACTGGATACAGAAATCAGATATGGTCAGTTTAGTCAGACATGAACCCTATTTGGAGATGTTCTGTGTACACCTTGTGCAGTTGTCAAATGTTGCCAAAACAAGGATGCTTACTGATTCTTGACCTTGTCATTGCAGAGGACCAATACGTTTAGGACCAAGTGATGAATCTGTGGCTGAGGCAGCAAAACAAAGTCAAGAAGACTTATCCAAAACAATGTGACCCATGTTTAAAACATACATGGTAAAAGCTCCAAAGCATGTATAATGCTAGCGATACTGCTAGCATGCCTGGTGTTTGTCTCATTCAGAAGCATCTGTAGCTCATCACGAAGGACCTACCTCTTTCCACCTTCACCTCTTGAGGAATCACCTCCATATCTACTTCCCTCTACCAAATCTCATTCTATTTTAGGCTGGAGAGAGATCAAAGCTCCCAGTGAAGATGCTATCTACTGAAATGCAAGACACCAGGCACAGATTATAGCTGTGGCTGCTTTTAATAATGTTACTGATAAGCCCGCACAGTGTGTCTTCTATGAGGTGGTGTGCCCTTAAGACTATCATCTATAATCAAGGAAAAAAGGTTCACTAAGGCTTGTGGACAGCATGGTTTGCTTTTGACTTCATATTTATTGTTAAGTCACTCATTTCTCTGTGTTGGATAAGTGTCATCATTTGCTTTTGTCACAAAACCTTGCAACTTTATAGGTGAAGAGAAAAAATGATCTTAAATGTACATTAAGCACTCAGTCATGATTTTAAACCATAAAAATGTCAGGTGATAAACTGCCACTTTAACAATTAGAAAATAAGCTAGCTAGATTTTCAGCTCATCACATATTAATGTTAAACAAAGTTAGCAGGCTAATAACGTAGCTTAACACACCACAAAACCAGTTACATTCTGTCTTTTTAACACCAAAATCAGTCACACTTCACTGGCTCAGATTTGAGTCTTTGTCCTCTAAACTTGTCAGTGAAGCATCAGTGATTGGAATTGAACCTGTGTTTGTAGTGTGTCAAGCTTGCTAAGCTAACATTAACCTTTAGTGCTAACAAGGGCAGTAGTATAGTAATGTAAAAGTAGCTCAGCTAAAGGCTCCACAAACAACAGAGGTCCGCTCACTCAGATTAAAATCTTTGTCCTCTAAACTTGTGGCAAAGGAGCTTCATTGATCCGAAATCAAACATGCTTTGTTGTGAAGCTGTAGCATGCTAAACTACTGCTCTCTGCTACTAAGATGACTCTGAATATCATTTGACAGTTTATTAAAAGATTTGGAACATTTGACAGTCAGATTCATCTGTTTTAGCTTATAGGTAACTACACAGTCCAGACTTCACAAATAAATTAGCTGTGTTAGCGCAGGTATGTTCTGTAGCTATAAGCTTCCTGTTGCCACGTCGTGCTTCTATCATTAACAAGATTTAGTACATTAGACAGTCATAAGCCAAAGCATATTCGTTATGTACAAAACTAAGCTGCTACATAGCGCCCCACAAAGAACTTATTTATGGTGTACTGACCCAAATAGCAATTTATATAATCAATTAACCCATCTAAAGCCCTATTCCAATGGGATTAGTTTTGCATGAGGAGGTAGGGTGATGGAATTATTACTTGCGTTTCTCTGATTTAAATCCTGTTTGAATGAGACATGGCAGTCATTTTCACTGACTGTAAAAAGTCCCCGCTTCAGTAAAAAATCCGGTGCCTTTTACCTTCTGTAAATTGAGTCATAGAAATGTCCCCAGGTTATATTGATTCTGTGCGATGTCAGTAACAATGCTATCATGTCTTGTGAAAAGGGAGTTTAAGTATGGAGTCACCTAAAGAAGGATTTACTCATTTTCTGGCGAGTTCAGCTTAATTGCCAGCTTCTTGTTTAAATTTCCCCGTTCCACCAAAATTTGATCAAGAAGCTGGTGAATAAGAAGCTAACTACAGCCTTGTTCTCTGAGGGTAAAATCAGGCCGAACGTGACTGTCCTCTCACATGTACAACTCGGAACTTACAGAAATTACATAAAGTTTTATTTTATGCAATGAAGTTGACTTTGCTGTGAATTTCCAAGCTAAGGGCGATGCTAATAACACACTGCATTCACTTAAGACAAATGTAAATGGTTAGGGCAAACAAAATAATGGCTCAATTAAATGTTTTATTATATTTTCTACTCTCTGGAGTGAGGGCGATGTGTAAATTAAACATTAAACATCCTAAGGTAAAAGGTGTTTCCCCAGCTTTCCATGAAAAACTAATCCAATCCAAATAGGGCTTTATAGAAGTAAACCGTTAAACATTTTTCAGTGCATATTACATAAGATTAAATAAGTACTTTTGGACCATGTCTTTTGGCCCATTTATTGCGAAATGTGCACATAATATAAAAAACTAGCTGCCATTTTCAATGAGTGTAAAAACAAGGCTTCAACATGGTCACAGTTTGCTTTGAGGCAGTCTGTGTGGGTGATTCTACTGAAACCGCTCATTTTGGTTATTGAACGATTCCTGCGTTTAACAGCAGTCTGCTTTTAAGAGGATGTCACAAATGTGTAATATAGCTTTATTGTTGACATAGTAATTGATTTAGTGCCACAGCGTATAATGTTGCCTATAGTGTGATCTCCCTGAGCAACAGCAGCTATGGCTAATGCTGCTTGACAACATGACCCATTTCTAAATCATTCCTTCTTGCTATGTCACTGTTGCATTTTCTCAGTACTATTTACTGTGTTGATTTGCGCTGGCAGGGCTTTGCTGCCCATCTCTCTGCAGCACTCTTAGTTTGCTTCTGCATTCTCCCCGTAGTCTGCTGCTCACCCAGATAAAACAGGCCTACCTATTAATCATTTACGGCACAAAAGAGATGCTCTTAGCCTAACGGACTCCATGCTGTTCGAGGTGACGCATCAACACTGCTGGCTGTCGGCTAACCCCCCCACAAGTGGATGCTGTGAGAGGCTCTTTCCTCTTATCATTCATAATAGATACAAGCAATCAAATTTGCATTCACAAAAATGTTGAAAGGGATACATGGCATGCATGAGAAACGCTGCAAGAAATGATATCTTGTCAAGTGAATGCACCTTAAATGTAGAAAATATCACATTTCATTATGAGACTGTTCTAAGAATATTCATCCAATTTCTTCAGTTTATGACTTATTTTTCCTCAGAAGTATTTCTGTGGACCACCCAGAAGGCCAGTCTGAGAGCCACTGTCTCTTTTTCACTTACTGAGCGACTAACTCATCTGTTCTTGACTGAAACCCATTGTTGACACACACATGCACAAGTGTTACTCAGTGTAAACAGTTGGTGGCGCTATACATCTAGCTAAATGAACACTTCTTCTACTCATCTAGAGCTAACATAAAGAAAACAGTAAATGCATTCATTGAAACATTTAAAAATTTGCAGTAAAAACACTGGTAGATTTTTACTGTTCTGTGTGAGCATAAAGCCATCAAGAGAGCTAGTACATGAGTGTTTTTGTAATATTTACTAAACTTCCTCCATATTTACACTTTTTTTGTTCTTTCTATTATTATTATTATTATTATTATTATTATTATTGCTACTACTGTCAGTGATGGTAGTAGGAATACTACTAGTACTACTACTACTACTACTGCTAATAATAATAATGTACTGTACCAGAGACACTTGCACGACACAAATAACTATGCAGCAGATGGGGGTCCAGCAAAACTAGTCTTGCTTAGTTTTGTTAAAGTACATATAAAGTATATCTATACTAAAAT